TTTTCTTTCTGACGACCACAATCCACAACTGTTCCAGATCGAAGCGTCAAGCCTTGCGAAGCCGTGCTGGTCAAACACCGTGCATTCGTGGCGCGAAAACCACATCTGCGGATTTGTAGCCCACTGTAGCTCACGACCACTTCTTCTGCTTCAAACCAATAGAAAGAACGAGCCAACTTCTCCGCCTGCTCCGGACTATTCGTATGCTTCACGCACAGCGGCATAAAGCTTTCCCACCCACTGCATCCTTGATATCCTTGGATGCTCACCAACAATCCAGATGGTACATATCTGGGCGTAAACATTTCTCCTGCCGGAGTCTTCAAATATCTTGCTCGATCGGCATCATGAAACCCAAAATCCATAATGGTTGCCACAGTATCTTGCACCAGCCCTTGGTCGGCATCCACACGCGCCAACAAACGAATTTCCATGCCAACAAAGCAAGGCAAAATGCCATGAATCAAACCAGTGTTGTACGGGTTCGGCTGATTCAAAAATCGAAGGCCAGTCTCATGATTCATGCCCATACAAGTATCAGCAGCTTGCAAAAAGACCAGTGTCTGATTGCATCGGCTCGCCTGTAAGATGGTGCGACGATACATCATGCGAATCAAGGATGCCCAGTAGATCGACATACAGTACCCCGACCGAAAGTTCTCCGATTCCAAGCGAGCATCAGCAACGCCGGGAGCTTCGTCTCGTACCACACGCTCCTGGAACTGAGCCCAGAGCCTATCCGGCAGTGTGTGGCCAAGCCGCATGCGTTGCAAGATCTCGATGAGCGGATCCTGCGGCTTAAAGCGCATGGTGCCGCGTAGCTCATACACATCCGGGATTTCAGAGACAAGTTTTTGCGCGTGCTGCACCTCCACGCCAGGGACCTCTTTATGGACATACTGGCCCTCTTCATCTCGGCGATTCAGATCTTCAATCAATGATATCTGACCAGTCGGACGCAGTTGGAAAAAGTCACCCAGGTGAACGACGATGGGCGCCCGCCCGAAAGCACAACCCACTTTCATGTAAGTGTCTCGGTCCACCTTGGAGGGGAGCCGGCGACCACACATGGCACGAAAATCCAGCATATTGTAGAGCAAAGCCGACACCATGCTGATCTCTTCGATGATCAAGACACGAACATTCTTCCAGGTTTTCTCCAAAGCCTTTTTCCTTCTTGCCTGGAGCCAGATCCTGATTCCTCAAACTCTGAATCCGCATGCAACCTGCTCTATGCAATGTCTTGGCTCGCACACCTTCTGTGGAAATGTTTTTGGCTTGCGAGTTTTTGGCCGCCACGACCATCAAAGACTCCTCCTCTTTGCTTGGCGGCCAGATGAAATGCGCAACCGGAAAAATCAAATTTTGCACAACATGAGTTTTGCCTGATCCGCCCTGTCCCAGCAACAACATGTGATACACAGATCTCCGTTCAGGTGGTAACTCTTGTTCTTCTTTCCACACAGTGTCTAAAATATCTCCAAATCGTAACACAAAGAGCATCTGATCCTCGTTCAATCTGCCCGTGATGGGTAGATTTGCCACCATGTCCGACAGCATGGCAGATGGTGTCGCATAGACCTTCTGATCCGTGAAACGCGCGCAATCTCGTGGTAACAAAGGCAGTAAGAGGCGGAGAGTACGCAAACGCACCACTTCGTCCGGCTCATCTGTCTGGGCTTCAATATCTTCTTCCTCTTCCCCTGGTTTGGTCTCTCTGACACTCCAATAGAGATCTTGCCGGACATCCTGACCAATTCTACGTCTGCAATAAATGAACTACACTCAAAACCCAAACCATAACAACTAATCAAATATAATTTTAACATTAAGAAGTTCCTTCAACTTTCAAACAACCCCATCGCAAGCACAATTCACCCCACAGAGACTACATATCAAACCACACACCCTTCAACTTCTCCCAGATATGCTGTTTCCGTCCTGATTCAAGCCAGAGAGGTCAGCCAGAAGTTCTTTGTGTTTCTGCTGTTCAGTGTTCCGACAACGCGAAGCTGCCTCAAACACATCGTCTCTCATCCAGGTTTCCTGCAGAAATGTTTTCACATAGTCATTCTTACGACCTTGCAGATCAAAGCGCAACAGCTGTTTCTGTTCCTCTGCAGTGAGGCGCAAACCAATCGGCGGGAAGACTTCCTTTTTCACAACACTTGTCTCTTCTACCAAGGCCTCTAGATTTTCATCGTTGTCGCCATCCGCGCCGACATCATCAGCTCCTCCAAGCGTGTGCATCTTCACATACTCCTCGTGCAAATGAGCATCTTCGTCTCTTCTACGTTTCGGTTTGTGTTGTCTGGCGCGCGCAAGTCCTTCAAGATTTGCAATCCGCTGTTGTGCCAGAAGCGACGAGTACATAGAAACAGTGCACCGCGGCTTCCCGAGATCAAAATCCTGTTCTGTCGGTGGCAATGTTTCAGCATCCAGATACCTCGAATATCGGCTTTCCAGTTCTGTGATCATTTCTTGGGTCTCCCACAGGCTCGGATATTCATATCTTTCCGCAAACCGATGCCTGGCCAGTTGAGCTTCTTTCTCCATGCCACACTTCCACTCCAAGAAGGATTTGGTAAAAGCCGTGTGCGCCTGTCGAGATCGATCCAGACGAACATCGCCAGTGTCAGCTGCAGGTGTGGAAAATATCTTAAACGCATTCAGCACCAACTCTTCCTCCGTGTGTTGAATATCGACCTCTTTCACCAGATGCACTCCCACTGGTCGGCACTGCACCTGCTTGTACATGGCGTTCCGCTCGCTGTCGTGCGTCAGCGGCGGCATAGTGAAGCCTTCAAACATGGGCACACGCGGTTCACTGGCGATCCGCTGCGCATGGCTGTTACAAAGCTTGTACGAGGCATCGAAATAGATGTCCACAAACCGAGGTATAGCCGACTTCACCGACTTGTCTGCGCCCCGCGCCAACTCCACACGATAGACCCAGGTGCCATACGTAGCCCAACTCATGCCTGTGCTAGCAAAATTCGAGACCCCAAGCATGATACACACATGAAACCAACCACTGAGTGCATATCCATATCAACACAAGAAATTACTCACATCGCAAACACAAACGGATAATACACAAGAAAAAAGCACATTTTATAGACCCCGCAGAGCCTGCCAGCAAAGGATGATCGCCACGAAACAGATAGTCTTCCAGACTGGATGATGTCACAGCCAAACGTTTGGCTTCCACGTTGCTCGTGGTCTTCACGGCTACCTCTTGGCCATCTGCTTGGAGAGACTGCAGATTCGTCGCAACGCTGGCGTCCGTGGCAGTCGGAACAACGATCTCGGTGACAGCATGAAGTTTGAGGAGTTCCTGCACATAACTCAGCGCCTGTCCGGCATTCTTCCTCTCACGTCCTTGGTATTCTTCAAAGGCAGCCAAAAGGTCTGGACAGACTTGTCCATTCGGACCGATAAAAATTTCATCAACCACCTCCGTCGCCGGATCCTTGCGATAAACTTTCTTCCAACCCTTCAACTCCAGATCATCCACTCCAGGCCGTCTGAAAACGACAGGCTCAGCTTCCTCCCCTGGATCCTCAATGTGCTGCAAGACTGAATCGCCGTACTGACGCCGCCAAGCTTCAACTGCAAAAAAACCG